GGGGGTCGGGGATCTCATTAATGCTTACAAATATTTAAAGGGTGGGTGTCATGAGGACAGGACGAGACTCTTCTTTGTTGTTCCCAATGACAGGACAAGGGGCACAGGTCACAGACTAGAACACAGAAGGTTCAACTTAACATAAGCAAAACTTCTCTACTGTGAGTGTGACAGATCACTGGAACAGGCTGCCCAGAGAGATTGTGGAGTCTCTTTCTCTGGAGACATTCAAAACCTGCCTGGATGTGTTCCTGTGTGATCTTCTTTAGGTGATCCTGCTTTGGCAGGGGGTTTGGACTAGATGATCTTCAGAGGTCCCTGCCAACTCCTAACAGTCTGTGATTTTGTGAATAGCGTGTTGTTTCTGAGTCACAGGTCAGGATAAAACTTCTAAAGTTTATACCTTACAGACTTAGTTCTAACTTTTAAAGGGCAAAATCCAAAAAGTCAGATGTTAAATAGCACCAAACATCTGAATACATTGCTTGATAGCAGACTCATACATTCAAAAGTTATTTCAAAACCCCTCACAGAAACCCAATACAGTATACAACTTTGATCCAATATGTAAAATGACCTACCCTCATGTCTTCACCCCAGAACCAGATGACTATATTTACTTTGCAGAAGAACCAGCTCAGGGTATTAGTGATGATCACAGAGTAAGCTAAAAAGTATAGCACCATCATTTTCTTTTTCAGTAATACAACAGTGCCCATTCCTGTACCAACTCTGAAGAGAAGCTTACATTTTCTCACTTATATCAGTATATATAAGTATATATATAAGTATACCAAGTAAAACAAACTAAATAAAATCTTCAAGATATCAAGAGTATTAAACATCCAAGAGAGTATCTTCCACCACTTCTAATACATAATTCCGAGTAACAAGAAAATGCCCACCTTAGCTGCATGAGGAATAGATTCTTCATGAGAAGGGCCTGTGGCCCTCAGTCATTTGCAGCAGTGTGCCATTAGGAAGTAAAATAACAGTAATTTGGTAGCAATTTCAGTTGTATGCTGGCAGGATTTGTATATTTTTGCTCTTATTAGCATACACGTCTTTCTCCTGTAAGAAGGATTCTTGAATTTGGCAGTAATGGTCACTGTATCACCTTGAAGGGAAACTGCTTCCATCATAAATAGGCTTTCCTGGAAAAAAAAAGCAAACAACAAACAATAACCAACCTTGTATCTATAATTCTTTTGGCTATTCATCCCTCTTGCATCACATCCCCAAACTGCTAATTTGAAGCAACTGTGAAGAGACAATGGAGGCTTTAACCTGACTAAATGAAGCTCATGTTTCATGGGAGGGTTAATAATTGGCTGATGATAAGTGGAGAAAAAAAATATTTTAAAAAAGAAAAAGAAAAAAAAAGGAAAAAAAAAAGATCTGTCTCCAGTTCAGCCCAATGGGAAAAGTGATTTTCTTATTCCCACCCACAAAACGCAGCAATGTGCTGCTTATAGGGCAAAAAGGTGCTAGTACCAAGTTCTAATCTTATTAGATCTTTTCTCTGGTAAAGTCTTTGATCTTTGTTGTTTTTTAAAAGAATATATGAGTTATTTTTTTGTTTTGCCTTGTCTGGAACAGAATTGTATGAAAAATTTGCTAGTGATATTTGCATACACTTTTTGTGGGCCTGTTATGGTCGTTTATTAATAAATACACAGATTTACATGATAAACAAAGATTTTTTTCAGGAGTAGCCTGGTACGTGCAGGAAACTTCAGTAAATTTCTTCTTTTTTTGCTGTCAGAGTGATATTATTAGTTTTTATTAAATTTCTGTGCATTTGTCTTTAAAGCTTTTTAAATTCTTGTAAAGAATAAAAGCTTTAAAGTCTCTAACTTTATGTCTATTCCCTCTCAAAAAAAATGGAAAAAACAAACCAAACACTGATCAAATCCACAACTAATCTCTGTGACTTGCAGGGTATATACTTTAAGCCTTTTAATGCTATATGACAATGCTAAATTGCACAAGTTACAAAAGAGCTGTGTGATATTAAAGGTGGCTGAGATTTCAGGTACTCTTGCATTTGGATGGGATTGAAACTGTAAACTTGTAATTTCTTTTCTTTTAGTAGTACAAGGAAACTGTTATTCAAAAATTGAAGACCTTAAATCTCATCCACTTATGCAGGTATCTGTTGTATGAGTCAAAGGGATGTTATATAGCCTGACTTATGTTTTCAAAAATGGTAACAGACTGTATATGCTACTGTATTCATTAACAATGAAATAAATTGTTGTGTATCTAATTCTAATTTTAGCTTTGCTATTAGTTTATAATTAATATTTTTAAAATAGCCTTTTCTGATTCTTTATTATTCCTTAGAACTATATAGGCTTTTCTTTTTGTGATCTTATCCTTGCTCATGAATAGAAAGTACTAAATAAGCTCAAACAAACTTATATTTCTGAACTTAAGTTTTTGCATTGGACCCCAGCATTCCATTAAATTGATGTGTTCCACTAGCTTTCTCATGTAAAAGCATTTTCAATGGTCTCATAGGAACAAAAGGAAAATAAACTCCAATTCCTATGTACTTAAAAATAAAATAAAATAAAATAAAATAACCAGTTTTGTTCCTTTAAGATCCTGTCTCTTTCTATTAATTCATACTTAATCTGATATTTTCTCCACACATTTTCTATTAATTTTTAGACTTTTAATTTATGAGGATTTCTCTTGGTTCTAAAAAAACCCAACAAACCAACCCTTAAACTATATAAAAATGTAGGTGTCTGCCAGCATTCTAATGCTATTACTGGTATCTGCTAAATGTCTAGAAGACAGATGTAAACCTCATCTGATTTGCTTCACTTTCTTATCCTGACGTTGTACTTTTGTGGGTGGGCAAAGATGGCTCAGAAGCAGTCAGCCCTCTAACATATGCTTCAATTTCAGTTTAATCATGTGAATACTTGTTTGCAACAGTTGATCAAAAAAGTTTTCCTCTTAAACATAGGCTGGTTCTCTGATTCCCAGGCAACGATTTGAAGACAATTTTCTTCTGAAAAGATCTCTCATTGGATTCCTGGGTGGGATCCCTTAGAGCTCTGTATTGGAACCAGTGCTATTTAATATCTGCATCAATGACATGGTGGGACTGAGGGCACCTTCAGCAAGTTTGCTGACTGCTGTAGTCAAAATGCCAGAGGCATGGTATGTCATCCAGAGGGACCTGGAGAAGTGGAGCCATGTGAACATTACGAGGTTCAACAAGGCCAAATGCAAGGTCCTGCACCTGGGTCAAAGCAATCCTCGTTATCAGTACAGGCTAAGGGATGATGCAATTAAGAGCAGCCCTGCAGAAAAGGACTTGGGGGTACTGGAGGATGAAAAGCTGGCCATGAGCCAACAACGTGCTCTTACAGTCCAGAAGGCCAATTGCATCCTGGGCTGCATCAAAAGAAGCATAGCCAGCAGGTCAAGGGAGATGAATCTGTCCCTCTACTCTGGTGAGACCTGACCTGGAGTGCTAGGTCCAGCTCTGGAGTCGCTCAGCACAGAAAGGACATTGAACTGTTGTAGTAGGTCCAGAGGAGGGCCACAAAAATGAACAGAGGACTACAACACCTCTCCTATGAGGGCAGGCTGAGAGAGTTGGGGTTTTCAGCCTGTAGAAGAGAAGGGTCCAGAGAGACCTTATAGCAGCCTTCCAGTACCTGAAGGAGGCTTACAAGAAAGGTGAGGAGGGGCTGTTTACAAGGAAGCATAGTGATAGGACAAGGGGCAATGGTTTTAAACTAGAGCAGGGCAGATTTGGATTAGATATTAGGAAGCAGTTCTCTACTCTAAGGGTGGTGAAACACTGGAACAGGTTGCCCAGTGAGGTGGTGGAGGCCCTATCCCTGGAGCCATTCAGGGTCAGGCTTGAACCAGCCTGTGAGGTGGCGATGGCCTCTTTCCACTGTGCTGTGGCTGATGGCTCCCAGTTAATGCAAGCACTGTCTGTCATGTCACCTGGGGTGAATGCAGGAGGCATTTTGCGATAAGTTCCTGCGTGTAGAAGTGATCCTTGACCTACACCTGGAAGATCCTGAGGTAAAAATATAGTGGCCTGACCGATGGGTGACACCGTAACAGCTCTGTGACTTCATTACAGCTGCTGAAGTCCTTACTGCACCCCAAAACTCCTGTGAGCCAAGATTTCCTGGGGCTTATTTTACCTCAGGCAGGGAACAGCCTGATCAACTACTTCTGTATACTCCAAAGCACTTTAAGCTGGGAGGAGGAATCAAAAGAAAATTCTTCACTTGCGAAGCACAGTTTAAAAAGAAAGAGAACCGAAACGACAGGGGCTCAGGTCCGCCATCTGATTTCTCCGTTTCCCTCTGAAGCGGAGGTGCCGGCGCCTCAGCGCGGAGCGCTGCGCGTAAGGCCCGGCAGCCTGAGGGGAAGCGGGAAACCGCGCGCGCCTAAGGGAGCCGCGTGACACCTTCTTCCCCCTCCCCGCCCCTGGCCGGGCGGCTGAGGGAGTCCCACCCCGCCG